CTACATTATACCTCTATTATATATCTAGCTTAACCTGTACTAAATTGCTGGAATAAATCTGTTTAAGGAGCTCAATGATTACTTCGAAGTTAAATCATTCAAATATTTATCTTCTGTATTCAAGCGACAATTTAAAATGAAGTTTTTGGGTATAGCTATTTAAATATTATAATTATTCTAAGATGTTATAATTTAAGTTGCTTGATACCTTTATTATTAAGAAATCCTCTTCCATCAGTCTCAAATATATTCTCTTTTTCTGGATCATCAGTGAGTTCATCTTTCTCCAATCTGCTTTCTTCACTTGAAGGCATATCCAGTAAATCATCACCCGTCGCTGAGTTATCACCCTCACTATCGCCGGAATAACATTCTTTCAAACTTTCCATGAGCATTGTATTTTCGCCTTGGATATGAAATATCTGTCGTTTAATGACGTTTTCCGAATTGACTTCTTCCGAAATTCGATTAAATTTATCTTTATGCAGTTTGCTTCCACTAAAGGGTGACAATGGATGCTTAGTGCAATCAGATTTTCCAGCTTGCTCAATGTTAGAATGTATGTCACCATTTTGAATAACAAATTCACCTTGGCTCTGACTGCTCACACCAACTTCGCGCTCACGATAAAGAATAGAACATTGTATAGAAGCGGAAGCTGGCATCGGGCTAGAAATTAAATCTTTGTAGTTAGTTTTAGAGGCGTTAATTTGCTGAGAATATTCTTTTTTTCGCGCATCTTTTATTAGTTCATAGCATTCGTGGCTTCTATGAGCTTGAGCCAGGTCTTCAGCCATTTTTCCTAGTCGCAACAATGAGGTAAATAATAGATTATAGGAACTGATTCTTCACAAATCAACAGATATAGGATTTTTTCATAGACTCGTCTGTATAATAACTTACTTACCAGATGTGTCCTTGATATCAAGATTGGATCCATGAGTTATTAATAAATCAACAATTTCAGCATCCCCATTTATGCAAGCGATCATAAGAGCAGTCCTGAAAGGGCGCATAATCATAAATCAGTTTAATCTTATAGGGAAGTTATTGGAGGAATTAGCTCCAAGAATTTACTAAGCAATATATTTTTCTGCTTACTTCTCTTCATTATTAACACAATCTAGCTGAGCATTGTTTTGCAGCAGATAATTGATGCAATGTATATCTCTCTGCTCGACAGCAATGTGTATGGGAGTGTTTCCATACTATAAATAAAAAAATAAAATTTGTTCGTGTATTACGATATGCAAAGTTAATTTAAGGCTCACTAGCCCCAACCCTTAATATTATACAGATATTTTATTAAAATAAAATAAATAGCTTAATAAGATAAAACGAACAAAATAATATAATTTGCCTATAGGTTCAATATAGATGCCATAATTGGCGAATAAAATAAAAATCCAGATTACTTGGGCTATATTAATCAGCATACTCATTAATGATGGATTTTAATAAGTAATACTCGACAGAATTTATTCATAATTTAGATTTATATAATAAAACCTTTAGCTAGTTTGTAAGTGCTTACTTTGTTTTTTGTATTGATAGAAACACCACACTTAAAAAGCATTTCAGCAATTTTTATATGGCCTTTTTTTAAAGATTGGTGTATAGGTGCATCGCCGTTTTTATCTCTGGTTGTCAGGTCGGCTCGATAGGCAATGAGGAGATTAACTATTTCTGAATATCCCCCTTCAATAGCCTTCATTAATGGAGTCTTTGAATCATTGTCCAGCAAATTGACTCGAGCATTATATTCAAGTAATTCCTTTGCAATTTCTTTGTAACCCTTAGCACATGCAAGATGAAGTGGAGTTCTTAAATAGCAAATAATAGTAAGATTACCTGTTTTCTTTATCACATGTCATAGGATCCTTCTTTACAAGAAGTTTTACCTTGTTAATATCGCCATTCCAGACAGCTTTATGTAGTTTTTTTAAGTCCTTTTCATTAACTATATAACCAGTATTAATTTCATTTAAACAGGCTTCTTTATAAACAACAGAACCAGAACTAGCAGGACTGGCATCCCGCGATCTATTTTGAAAATTTAGTCTGCTAATCAATTTTTTCATCTCTTAGAGTTTTTTGAAAGATCGGCATGCTACAGCGATCACTATGCCTATCATAAATAGCATCATAAAATACAT